AAATATAGAGATATACAATTAATCCGTGCACAATTTTTAATTAAATGCATTTTTTTTYCCMAAAWWAAAAAAAATTACAAGATACATATTTAGGTTTATTTTAAATTAAAAAACCAAGATCGCCTCCTTCACTGTGCATGCCAAGTGAGGGGGAAGAGCGGCACAGAGGGGCTGCGGCGGGGCGCGGGCGCTGCCCAGGCTCGGGCCGGGCTGGGGGCCCTGCAGGCGGGAGGGCAGCGCCGTGGGGCAGGACAAGCAGAGCGGGCAGCCCCGGCCCCCCGCGGCGCCGCTTCCCACCCCGAAACACAGGGATGGGGAACACCCCACGCTCCCCAAGCAGAGGCCTCCCTGTTCCCAAGGAGCACGGGAGGTTTAGGAGCAGGCGGCTGAGAGCGTGCCGAGCGGCTCGGCTGCGGGGAGAACACAGAGCCAAAGCGAAGCCAAGCAGCTCCCGCTTTTCCTTCCCCCGGGAAGGCTGCAGCCCCGTCCTGCCCCCGCGGCAGGGGCGCCGCGTGGCAGCGTCCCCAAGCACGGGGCYGGGGGACGCTGCCCGAGGGCGCTCTGCCCGCGGCCCCGCTCCCTGCCGGGCCCGGCCTCCCGGTCCCGCTGCTCCCGGGAGCGCTGGGTCTGCTGCCACACGTGGACACTGCGAGGGTCCGTGGCGCCACGGCCAGGTGGAAGGCGCCGCGTCCCGCCTCGTGCCTTGGGGGAGAGGCCGGGAAGGGCTCGGGGTGCCCGCCTGGGCACACAGCAGAGAGCCCGACTCGCTGCGCTCCGGGGAGCGCCCCGAGCACCGGAGCCACCTCGGCGTGCGCGGGCCACACAAACCGGCCGCTGGCGGCGGCACGAGGGAGGAGAGCGGGATGCCCGCTGGCCGGGAAAGCGCAGCGGCGGCTTCTCGCATGTTTGTGTATTTCCATATAAAAAGTGAGCGAGATCCCGGCTCTTGCACGATCCCGGGGCGCTGGGAAAAGGCGGCGGAAGCAGGCGGCGCTGGGGCACGGGCACGCGCCGCGCAGGGAGGGCGGGAGGCGCCTCCTCAGCCGGCGGGAAGGACGAGCCCTTGGGRGAGCCCTCGGAGGAGCCCCGGCCGCGGGGGCAGGACAGCGGCCCGGCCCGGCAGCACGCGGCGGCTCAGCGGCCTCGGCCTCTGCCCCGCACACCGCGCTGCGCTCCCGGGCCTCCCAGCCCCTCCACAGTGAGGGCGGGAAAGGGAGCAAAATCCCTTGGAAGACTCAGCGCAGGGACGGCTTCCCCCCGCAAAGGCCTGCACTGGTTTTTTGCTTCGGAAATCTCCCTGGGAACTGCGGGAAGCAGAGCCGGGGCGAAAGGCTCCCCTGCCCTTTTGGAAAGGGAGACGGGGCTGGCGGCTGCCCCCGGGCCGCTCGCCACAGCCTGGGGCTGTGTCCTGCTAGCCCCACAGCGGCCAGGAGCTGCCCAGCTTCCCGCGGCCCTGTGCCCTCAGGGAAAAAGCCATTCCCCATGTGGAACCGGCACCGGGAGAGGCTGGGAGAGGCCAGGGAAGGGAGGCCCCGCTCTGAGGAGGGAGCCCCCCCAGGTTTAATCCTGCGGAAAGGCCGGCGTGGCGGCCGGCATGGAGCAGCACCCAGCCCAGCACCGGCCTGATCCGGCAGCAGCGACACCCACCACCTCCGGGAAAACATCGGGAAGGCTCCACCTCGGCTCACAGGAGGGCCGGGGGAGGGAGGGAGACTCATTCCAGCAYTTGGGAGGCGAGGACGGGAAGGGTTTGCAGACAGGGCTCCTCTGACACGACACCTGCCCTTCCAGCTCGGAGACGGCTGCTCGGTCCCAGGGCCTTTCTCTCAAGCCAGACACCATCCGGACGCACTCGCTTCCATACTACAAAATACTCTTTTCTCTAAGGACCATCTAATACCACTACCGTTTGTGCAATCACTGCATTTATTATTCTTTTTTTAAACTCTCTCTYGCTTTCTCCCCGTAGAAATTTTTTTTTAAAACTTTTCTTTTTTTTTATGCAAAACTAAGCATTTCACTTTTTCCACTCCATCATAAAATCTCCTCTAAAAACACAACAACAAGAGAACAAACATGGCACAGACACAGAGAATATTTCCCTGTTTTCGTTTGTTTTTCCTAGGGGTTCTGGGGAAAGGAAGGGGATACTTTCAGATAAACTCCCCCGCCGACCCCACGCCTTCTTCAAAGGCCATGGGGAGATCTTCCTTGCCCGCTCCGTTAAGGAGCRGGGATCAAACGCAGGCGGAGGAGCGGAGCCCCCGTGGACACGAGGGGAGGTTGGTCAGCCCCGAGCGGCCGGTGCACTCGAGACCGTCGCTGCACTCGAGTCAGCAGATCCCTAACTCGGCACAGCCCAGGATCTTACYGCAGATCCTGAGGTCCAGGGTTGCTTCCCGCCTGGGGACACATCCAAGAGGAGACCGGTCACACAAGCGGCCGAGCCGGGTCCGTGCTCCGACTCCCGTCCTCCTCCACCAAGAGGAGGCGCCGCGCGAGCCCTTTTGCCACCACAAACACTGTCCTCGCCCCTGCAAGCGGGTCCTCGCGGAGCATCCCTAGCACGACCCACCGGTTTGCGCTTCGCAGACAATCCCCTTACTTGTCACTCTGGAGAAAGGCCAAAAAATCCCTTCATTAAACAACTCCTGCCCGCCGCCCCCAAAGGACACCACACAAGAGACACCGGGGAAAAGAATCCTGCCAAGCGAACGCGTCTTGGCCAAAATACATCAAGAGCTTCTTATTAAAGTTCCCTTTTATCTCCCACTTAAACTCTTCATTTTTCTCTTTTTTTCCAAAATCTCAGCACCACAAAACGAAACACATCACCACATACACGCCAAAGAGCAACTCAACGACCAAGGAAAAGTGACTGGCCAAAAGGCATCCACCCCATCAAAAAGTTCCTCCTATCCTGCAGCCTCAGAATACGGTTATTTGTTTAGAGGGGGGAAGGAAAAACGAGGAATCCTCTGCTTCCCAAAGAGAGAGCGTCTCCCTATATCTACAACCCGCCCATCTTTGAAGCTGCAGCCATAAGGATAAGCTGTGTTAAAATAAGGAATCCCCTGGGTGGGCCAGGCACGGGAAAGATGCCAAAAGAAAGACACGAGAACACAGGCAGGTAATACAGACAAGCACACAAGTCCAACAAGCCACAGGGAGCCTCAGCCCGCCGAACGGATCAGGGAAGTGTCCGCCTCCCCATCCCCATGGTTAAAAGCGCGGCGGCTTCGGCGGCGCTCAGCTTTGGGCGAGGGCAAAGGGGAGGGCGGGTTGGCGCAGGGGGCACCACGAGCACCCGGAGCGGCCCCGGGAGCACTAAGCCGCGAGGGGCTCGAGCCCAGGGGCCCTTCCCGCCCGCCAAGGGGCCCTTCCTGCCCGCCGTGGCCCGTCCAGGGCCCGGCTGCGCGGAGCCGAGCGCCGCGGCAGGGAATTTGGGGCCCCTCTGCAGCACGCACGTGGAAGCAGCACCGCGCCGGGGCCGCGGGCGGCAGGGCCCCCAGGCTGCCACTTCAGCACCTCTTGTGCCCACGGGTTGAGCCGCGGGCACGGAGCCAAGGAGCGGCCTCCCGCCACGAGGCCGGGCAGCCAGGAGCATCGAGCGGCCACCAAGGGCAGGGGAAGGGGAGGAGCGCTCCGGGACACAAAGAACGTTCCCAAGCAGAGGTGCTCGGGGSAGACGGGGCTGCGGGGAAGGAAGGCAAGCTCTGGTCTTGCTGCCTCCCACTAGCGAGAAGTGAACGTTTCTCGACTAATTCATAGGAATTCAGGGGAGGAAGGGAGGAAACAAAGAAAATAAAAATCAGCACACATGCATATGATGTGAGAGAGACGGTTATTTCTTCTTAGCACCTTTGGTTGACAGTTGTAAGGGCCGTTTCAGGTCCTGGAAAGGCAAAGGGGAGCCCTCTGGCAGGCCAGCCACAGAAAGGAGGAGGGAAAGGGGCATGGGAAAGGGGGAGCCGCTGGCATCCCGCCCTCTCCCTCTGAGGGAGCCGAGCAGGGGGAAGGCAAAACCGYTCGGGGCACGTGGGGCACACGGCCCCATCCCGGCATCCTCTCCCCTGAACAGAAGGATGGATGCGCAGCCAACCCCGCCGTTCCGCCCCGGAGAGCCTGGGGAAGGGCATTTCATGCCCTCTCCTCCAGGCAAGTGCAAGTAAAGGCCCCGAGGAGCAACGTCCAGGCCAGGAGCAGCTCCCCTTACCCTCCCTGCCCTGCAGGGCTGAGCAGCTGGAAGATGCCAAGAGGAAGGGCCAGGCAGTGCGAAAGGGCCCCTACAACTGCCAAGGTAGCACCAATAGCTAAAAGGGAAGCCAGCGTGGGGCGTTTGCTGCCGGGGGGACCCCCCGGCCACCCCAGCTTTGTCGTAAGCACCTTCCAGGCACGACCCGGCGCCCGCCCCTCTCCCTGGGCCGCTGCCGAGGCGCAAGAGAGGGCGGCCGCAGGCCGCGAGGCGGGGGGAAGACGGYAGGCTCGGAGTCACGGCAGCGGGATAAACACGAGGAAGGGAAGAGAGCGCGGGACCACRGCTGGGGATGGCCGGGGGGGTGGGYGAGGGCCCCCATCCTCTCCCCTCGCCCTCCCAAGGGCCGGGAGCCTCTTCCTCAGCCAGACCGGAGAGGGTGGAGGGCAGAGCACCTTCCCCGCCAACACGCACGCATTCCCTGACCCCTGCATCCCCRAAGGCTCCAGGGCCCGTTGGACGACAGCACATTCAAGGACAAACAACCACTCGGCAGCAGCTCCGCCGCGGCGGCCCCCTCGCCCCCCGGCAGCAGCAGGGACACCCAGGAGCAGCGGGTGCCCCTGCTCCCCGCGGCGCTGCCACCTCCAGGCCAGGGGCAGCGGGCAGGAGGGACGGGGCAGCAGGGGCGGCGCTGGGGGCAGCGGGGCAGCGCGGGGCAGGAGGACAGAGCTAAGGACAGCCATTCACACCACGACTTCTCACGGGCGGCGCTGCCCCCGGGCGCCCGCCGCGCRGGGACCGGCCGCTCACTTGCTGCCGCCACCGCCGCCCGCCGCCACTTTCTCAAAATCCTCCGCGTTGCAGAACTCCTTGATGGTGACGGTGAGGAGGTTGCTGGTGACGTCGGTGACCACCACGTTGGAGCAGGGGGACATCTCGGGGCGCCAATCGCCCGTCTCCTGCTCCGGCTCAGGAGAGGGGAGGGCCAAGGCAGGCGGCTGCCCGCCGCCGCAGGCTCCGGGAGGGGAGCGCTTGCTGGTGGCCGCTGACTCGGGCGGGATGGAGAGGTCGAGCACCTCTGACTCGCGCCAGTCAGGGATGGCGGGGCTGAGGGTCTCGGGAAGCAGCTTCGGAGGGGAATCGTCAGGGTCGGACGAGGAGTGCGGGGCGGGCGAGGGGCAGCCGGAGGAGCTGGAGCTGGGGGCGTCGTAGGGGCTGGAGCCCACGAGGAGCCCGCAGGAGGACGCTTGGGAGCCTTCGGCCTCCCCCTTGCCCTCCAGCGCGGGGGCGGGCGCGGCGGGCGGCTTGTTGTAGAGCGAGAAGGCGCCGAACTTCATGTGGCGGATCTGCGTGCGCAGGACGCTCTCGCTGAACTTCTTGCTCTTGCCGATGACGCGGTTTCGGGAAGGGATCTTGGGCCGGGCCAGGCCGCCCGCCCCGTTGGGAGGCTTCCCACCTTTGTCAATGACTTTGAGGTTGAGGATGATGCGGCTGCGCTTGGGCTCGCGGGGCTTCACCTTGCGGTTGATGATGCGGACGGTCTCGGAGAAGGGCGAGACGGGGGGACGGATGCCGGTGCTGCCGGTCACGCTGCCGCCACTCTGCGGGTCGGGACGGGGCAGCGGGCGCCGGGACATGCGGTGGCAGCGCCGGATGTCCTTCTTAAGCCGGTGCACGGCAGCGCTGGAGTGCAGCTTGGGAGAGGAGGTGCTGGAGCCAGGCTTGACAGAAAAGTGAACATCCCCAATGTGGAGGGCCTCCGCCTGGGCCCGAGCCTGCGGTGGGGGGGAGAGAAAAAGGAACAGGGTCAGAGAGACAGCCCACGTGGAGCCGGGTCCTCAAGCAGGCCTTCCTCACCTCAGGACAAGGCCACAGGGCCCCATTTACACCCCAGCCGGGAAAACCGCACGCGTCCCGGCGGCTCAAGGCACCCTCCCCTCGGGGGCAGCGGCGCTGGAAGCGGGGCCAGGCCCGCAGGCCGCGGGAAGCCGCCCTGCTCTTCAGCCCYAAGGAGCCCCGGTGCCGCCGCAGCCCGCCAGGCAGGGAGCCGGGCACGGCGAGCRGCACCGCTACCCGGGCACAAACACGCTGAGCAGTTTCAGGACGGGGCAAGAGCAGCGTGTGCTGGCTGGCACCCGAGTGCTGCCGACAACTGCAGCTCGGTCCCTGCACAAGCGAGGGGCAGCGTCTGTGTCCGTCCGGGACAGCTAAGCAGGCCCCAACAGCACGTGCTTCTCCCAGGAGGACACAGCCACCCTCCCTGCTGTGTTTCAAAGGTGCAGCTAAGGGTCTCATGCCCTTCCCGGTCACCATGCGGAGCAGCGTGTGCGGCTCCCCCCGGTCGGCCACGCCACTGAACACCCTCCTGCACGTCTGGGCTGCTGGTGGGGCTCAGCAGCAGCAACGGGACTTGTGCCAACAGCTCGAGTGCTGGACCCAAGGGAGGGRACTGCATCTGGTTAACTAGGGGATGAGTGAGGACAAGGGAGAAGGGAGAGCAACTGCTGCCCTTCCCCCCGCCACACACACATCCAGGCTCCTCTGTCCTACAAAGTCTGGTAAAAGGGGTCCTGGAGAAACAGGGAGAGAAGTGGGTGAGGATGGTTGGAAGAACTAAAGCACCAAATCCAAAGGTCTGAAAGAGAGAGAAGGAGAGGGTAGTTGAGTAGAACAGTTCCATCAGTCACCTTATTTACAGAGAAGAAACAGAGGCTAGAAACCACCATTAAGCTGCTTTATCCCAGCTCTGCCTTAGACACAGGGCCCAGTACTCAACTCCAGTACTCACTGGTCGAGAAATTGAACCAGTGGGAGCCCAAATCCAAATTAACTGCGTTTCCACAGMAGAGGGCTGCCTTCCGCAAGCCACTTGTTTAAGAGGGCTGCAACCAAGCCGGAACAGACCTGGCTTCGCTGCAGAGCAAATGCCCTCCCCAAGGGAAAGGGAGACGAAACAAGTCTAAGCTCCGCCGCTGTGAAAGAACACCGGGGTCTGCCCTGGTTCCTGCGCCGGGCACACGGGGACACTTGCTGGCAGCAGGAGCAGCAGCCCCCTGGCAAGCAGGGCCTGGAGACCCTGCGGACACAGAGGCCCAGACCATGCCGTGACACCTGCCCTTGTCGGRGCAGAGCTCCTGCTCCAAACCAGTGCTGCCAAGCACAGACCCCCGGAGCAGCCTCGTGCCCGTGCCCGTCCCGCGAGCTGCTTCCTCCACCTCGCGGGCGCGAGCAGAAGTGCAGCAGGGGGGACAGCCGCTCCCGCTCCCCGCCTTCCCCATCCCCTTGTCCCTTGGCACGGGCCACCATGGCGATGGCTCCTGGCCAGCCGGGAGCAGGAGCGCGGCAGCCCCATCCCTGCGCTCCGGCCCCCGCAGCCTGTGTTTTCTGCGGGGAAAGCGGCTCGGGAGGAAGCTTCCCGCAAAGCTGGCGAGCCAGGGGCCTGCGGCCACCTGCCTGGCCTGCTCCTTATCCCACCGAYGTCCCAGCAGAGCTGCACAAGCCCAGAAGGAATGGAGACGTGGAAGACATTTTGTTCCTCCCTGGCTAATGCTGGATCATTCCCTGCGGCATTTTTTTTTTTATATATATATATATATATGTCCTGGCTTTAAAAGGACTGTGAAGAGGAGGCCTCCTCCTCCTGCTTTATGTGGAAGTGCAGACTGAAGCCTCATCTGCACCAGGTACCTTCCGCTGTATATTAGATGATCAAGAAATACATCAGGACAAGTGACAGGACTGTGGGGACAGGCACGGGCTTAGCTCTGGTCTGTGTATGCAGCTTAACGTGGCTGCAAGGAAACGTCTCCAGCACTGATGGACCCCCAAACGCTGAAGCAGCACCTCTGTCCCCAGGCAGTTCCTCTTTGCCCACACATTCCTCCATGCCCCAATGCCAGGAGAGCTCCTTGCATGCACACCGCTCACCTCCCATGCTGCTTCCAACCCAACGGAGAGGGTCATGTTGGCTTCCTGCCATTACCGTGCCCAGACGGCCCGGCTTAAGGACTTTATTCCTCCTTGTCCTTCTAGCCTTCGGAGCGCAGCTGCTCTCACGCTTCTCCCCAGCCCACCCTAGAGGGTGCCATTTCCACAGGCCAGGCAGGGAGCACGGAGATAGGCAGATCAGGAAMACCCTTGATCCACACCTTGGGCAGACACACACGGCCACCCTTTAGGCCTCTCTCRCTGCCAAGGGCGCCCGCCTTCCAGATGAACTTGCTGTCCTGCACCACACCTCCCGCCGGGGGATTCTGCTGCACGTCTCGTGTGAGGCCTCCTCCGCGCCCCGCTGCTCGGCTGAGGGGTCTGCCTGCTGCTGGCTTCAACACCACCCTCCCTCCCTCCCTCCCTCCCGCGGGGGAATGCAGCGGCCGGCAGCCCTGCAGATTCCCCCGAGCTCCGTGGAAGCCTCACAAACTGCCTCACGCGCTGCAGCCTCCTCGGCCAGCGTCACCAGGGCTGCAGYGAGCCCCAAGGCTGGCACCGTCCTGGCACAGCCACTTTCACACCCTGCTGTCCCGGCACGCTCATCTCGCAGCCCCTGTCCTCTCTTGACCAAGAACCTGACGCYGTTTTGTGCTCACACAGTAGCTAGCACAGAGCCCTGACCACATCTAGCACCTCTCCAGCAGGCCAAAAGGACAGGGGGTGCTCACTTGCTCTGGGTCTGCGTTCTCAGTTACTTCTGGGGCACTTTCTCCAGCCTGGGCCTATCTCTAACCCATGTTTCACAGCTCTGCCTTTAACAAAATTCCAGCTTCTGTAGTTTCCAAGGCTATGTGCACCACTGACCTCTTCTGCCAGACCATTAAGAGATATGCTAAGCTGAGACCAACCAGTCCTTCCCAGGTGCCACAGCGCTATTCCCAGTGGCCAGAGCGCCAAAGAACAGCATGCAAATATTCACCTTACCCTGAGCTTGTTTTTCCAGGCAAGGTTTCAAGAAAAATAGTATCAGRTGCTTTATCTAAGACCAGCCCCCACGTTCCCCTCACTTGGGAAGCTCTGTGGTTCTACTAGACACCAGATCAGGTTTAGTCTGGCATCAACAACACGAACTCAAGCCTCTGCCCTGCAGAGGACAGCGCATTTTCCAGGCTCACTCATTTCCATTTCTTGCTTCTAAAGGCACCTTAAGTAACCTGCTACTTGCCGTCTGCAGAAGACTCAGCGTTCAGCTTTATCTGCTGCAAATGTGCTTCTCCCTGCTACAGATCCATTCCTCTACGCACACTCACATACTGCAYGAGCACAAGGTCTTTAAAAACAAAGCTGGTTTGTCCTTTCAGCTGCAACACACAGTTTATGCTGCCTAGCAAGAGCCTTTCCAAAGGAGATGACTTCTTTATTTTTTCCCCCGTCGTTTTTACGGGCAGGGTTTGCTCAGAAGCACGAGGGTGCTCGGCGCATACACCAAGCGTCTCACTTCCTGCTTACAGCGCAGCCTCCTTCAGGATGCAGCTCCTGGAGCTGTGCTGCAGTGCTCCGTCACGAGAGCAAGRCAACTGCTGGGATTGCTTCCCTTCCTCCTCTCCCTCTTGGGACCTGCATCACCTTTATTTAGCTCATACAGCTCTATCTCACTGCCCCTGGGAACTAATACATCTCCCCGTTCCCTACTATTTCTGAATAAATGTCCCTTGAGGCCCAGCAAGCAGATTTGCTCATTCATTCCCTTAACGCACCGAGGTGCACAGGCACGTACACTGAAGTCATACTTACACCCGCTCTCTAAAGCCTCACTCATCTCATTTGTATCAAAGTATCTGCAACTTGGAAAAATATATATATATATATGTGTACACATCTTTTAAGGCAAAAGATTCCTAATGAATTATTTCAAAGTCAAGTAATTTTCAGGAGTGCTGCTGCAATGTGGTAGCACTGCTCTCACATGCGAGACTGGTTCTGCTTTGTGTTTTGTATTTCACCTGCATTCCCACAGTCCTTGCTCCAAATGGCTTTTGTAAGAGCTCCTCGTTCCCCTTTTTGGCTGCCATTCTGTAGTTTTATTGCCTTCTCTCTCCCGCAGCCTTCCAAGTGACAAGTTTGTGGCCCAGCTCTCCCAAGCAACGCTGCCATAAACTACAGTTTTCCCGCTTGAAGGCGAACAGTCTGGTTTCAAACTGCTCAGGATAATTTACAAACAGGGAGGAGATGAGAAGAAACCCTCCTAAGGTGAGAGCCTTGCACGTAGCGCTACCCGTTTCAAATGGAGCACCCTGAGGACTCTGCTCCTCAGACACGCTGAGGGCCTCCCAGGAACTACGGCCTCCTCCGGGGCTGGGGGAAAGCCTGCCCCTAGACACAGGGAATAAAGTCCCATTTCCCTCATCAAACCCTGGGATTGAAGCTGGCAGGGGTCACTTTCAAGGCCACCCATCTCGGTAGCACCGTGACAAAGCCTGGGCTGMGAGTTCCCTTCCCAGCCTGAGCGAAAGGGCAAGTGCTGCAGGGCTCACGGAGGCGGGAGAGGGGCTCACCAAGGCAGCGGGTGGCTGAAGGGGCAGCTTTTCAAAGCTTTCCCCAAGGCGTGGGCAACTAACCTGCTGCAGTGCTTTCTGTAAATCCCCCCCGGTGCTTATCTGCAGCTTTTGAGAACTAATCCCTTGATAAATCTAGCCCCAACTGCAAACTAAAACCGCCACACAAGCCAGGGGCCCGAGGAGCGTTATCAGAACACTTAATTTGACACCTTACTAGAAGCTAAGTTTAAATATATGAAAATTCCTAGCAAGCCCCCATTCAAGGGCAGATTCAAGTCCCATTCTAA